ACTGGCAGTCCGACTCCCGAGTCGAAAGTGTTAAAAATCATTTCATAACATTCTCGATTTCTCGTATATATTGAATACGTGTAATATGAAAGAAAACAGATAAATAATTTGATACATACTTCTTGATATATGACGAAGCCTTTTTCACATCAATTTTGTCTGCGTAGCAAACCGTAAAAGCTGGAAAAGGCATTTTCCAATCGTCCGATCGCAATTGCAATAATGTAACACATGGTCTTGATTTGAAACGATCCCATTGACCCAGGCATATCAAAACGGTAGCTGTTACTGATGCGATCATAACAATCAGCCAAAATAATCTTGAATTAGAAACAAGAGATTCATTAATTAATTAGATTTTCATTTTCTAGAAATTCTAGTAATTTTCTAGTAAATATTTTTGCATTAAGATTTTTCATTTAACTGCTATGTTTGTGCAATGAGCCAGATGTGGAATAAAGATAACAAGCGTAGGCTAGAAGTTGTGAGTCCTAAGTTCGATTCCAACCTTGGCCAACTCGACATCAAGCAGTATGATACCAGAGTCTCGAATATGATCTAAAGTAAAAATTACTTTTTAGGGGCATTGCTGCAACATACACACCAAACAATTAGATATATATGTATCTAATATAATTGTTACGCATTAGAGAATTGTTAATGGTCAGGTTGAGTCTTCAACAAACAACACAAGTAGTTTTAATTAGTTTTGAGTAGTTTCGATTGCTGTTGAAATAAATAAAATTAAATCTTTGTGCAACGCAGTTTCATTTCTATGATGATTTGCCAATGAATGCTAAGCCAATACTTGATTTATTGTAGTTTAGGTAACAGTCACAGATAAAAGATAACGACGTCATATATGTAATACTTCAAAAAGCATATGAGTTGAAAGCGTATGTGTTTGCGTATATATTTGAGAATATTTTAATATAATTTTTTCGACACTTTTGCATAAAAGCGAGTTTTTATTTACCCATAGATTTTAAGCGAGTTTTTAATCCATCCAATCCATAGTTATCAGTTGATACTAGACATTAACTGTAGTGTGGGATGCAATCATTTTTTTAAGGTCAGGTGTAATCGTTTTGGAGTAATAGACAAAAACTTCAAAATTCGTTTTCCAAAAACGTATTGTGATATTGACAAAGATCCTCAAATTTTTAGAGCGATGAACAACTATTACTGATAGTTAAAATATTTAATTCTGAGTAAATTATTACGCATAAAATCATGTCATACCCTGGTAAAATGATGACATCTTCAAAAACTTTGAATATTCCTTCTCCAAACTCTGCACCTAATTCCATATAAGTATATAAAAAAGACAAACTTTTTGCAAAAGGCAATTTTGCCGTTTCGGAGTCGGATCATCCGATTAAATTAATTCAAAAAAACATTTTGCTGGAGTAGACAGTGTGCAAAAAATGCATTTACAGAAAATTTAATAATTTTGAAAATTTCAAACTTCTAAATATTTAATAATTCCAAAAAATTTCAAGCTTCTAAAAAAATTCTAAATTATCAAAAATATCAAATTTTTAAAAAATGGACTCTTGTAAACGTGCACATAAGTTGTTCATAAAATACGCTCGTCGCCCAATTTAAAAAGCACTTATAAATTTACAGTATGGAATAAATAATCTAATTGAAATTATTCAAAACAATTATTAATTATTTTCATTCCTCGCCCCACTAGTATAAATATGTTAACGAGTGCATATAAATATGTCTAAAAAAGATTACTCTGAGTATTAATTAATCTTGATATAATAATAATATTGATTAAATAACTTAATAATTCATTAACTTTCCGTAGCGTAAGTTATAGACTATAGTAATCGCAAAAAAATTGATTTATATATCTTTACGTTCCAAAGGTTTCTGAATTTTGGCATACTTTAGAAAAAATGGATGTGTTTAGATACAAACTTTCGTTGATAATTGTAGGAACACGCATCAACCGATTTGAACAAAACATTCGATTCGTACTAAGACGTGCTAATTAGTTTTTGGTAAAGGCAGGTCCAGCCGTTTCAAACATACTGGACAAAAAAGCCAAAAGTTTTTGAGAAAACGAAGCGTCCGATTTAAATAATTCAATTCAATTCATTGTGTTGACTAAACGAAGAACTGTTTTTGGGATCAGGTCTAGCGGTTACAGAGATTCAATAAGAAAAAGTAAAAAAACGACATTTGGCGGTCCAAAATAATCATTAGATATTTTAGATATACACGTCAAATTATCTGATATTTTCTAGAGATTTTAATAATAAGAATAAATTTAATTTCCATTTCTATGGGTTCCGTATCAATGTCTATCCGTTAGACTGCAACGCGCTTCGATATTTTGTCTCCAAAACAGCTACGCAGCGCGATTGATTTGAAAAAAAAAGTTACAAATTTTCAAAAAATTTCAAAATATAAAAGAAACAGATTTTTCGAAAAAGTTAATTTTTCCCAAATTTTCAAAATTCTCATTTTTTTTTCAAAGTTTTCGAAAAATTTTTAATCTTTTTTTTAAAAAAATATGTTTCGGTACGGGAAGTTCCAGCAATTTGCCGCCATGCACCACTAGTTTATTTATATTAATTTATAAAAACCACTATTTGTAATAGAAAGGGCAGCAATCTGGAGATCGCCCCGGGCGGCAAAAGTTCTAGGTACGCCACTGGTTATTAGATATTACTATAGATAATTTTGACTTACTTTTCAATAACATTATTGTGTTTTAATGTTAAATATCTTACACCATGTAAACTGCTTTCGTCGCAGAATCTAAAAAGAAATTGTTTTAGTGTTTTCAACATGATTGGGCCACTTGTCTATTTGATTCACTTGTATTTTAACTAACTTACGTGTTTATTGCAGTTCCACCCAACAATAGTTAATTCATGCAAACGTCTACCTACTAATGCAATTTACTTGTTAATCGAACATAATCATAATTAGCTTTATCTGAAACCTGTAAAAATCATTAATGCCATTGGATTCGCGTGTTTACTTAAAATATGTTTATTATTATCTTATAACATGCAAATAAGGTTAGTCTACAACATGCGATTGCGACATTTAATAATTTCGAAATTATCAAAAGTCTTTTTTTGTTTTCAAAAAAATTAAAAATTGTGTTCATAATGTTAAAAAAAAATCAAAATAAAAAAAATCAAAATTCTCAAATAAATGTTATATTTTCAAATAGAAATCTAATAAATTGCGGTACGGGAATTTGCTATAGGGCACGTAGCAATGCACGAATAGTTTGTTTTCAACTTACGTAGGGTAAGTTATAGTAATCGCAAAGAAAACGAAAATGAAAATTTTTATATATCTTCACATTTTAAAGGTTTTTGAACATTTTGGCATACCTTAGAAAAAATTGATGCATGTGTATGTGCGTGCGGATACAAATTTTCGTCGACGATTTCGAGAACACCGATCAACCGAATTGAATAATTTAAAAAACATTTGATTCATATTAATAATGAGACCTGCTTATTAGTTTTTGGCAAAGGTCTAGCCTTTCTGATGATAGGGGCAAAAAGTGCCAAAAACCGTAACTCCGTTTTAAGAGAACGGAGCACCCGATTTTAATAATTTAAGAAAACTTGTCAATTTTACTTGTATTGACAAAATGAAGATCTGATTATTTTTGGGAAGGCAGGTTCAGAGGTTATAGACTCCCAATAAAAATAACATAAAAGATGTCATTTGGCAGTCAAAAATGTTTATTGGACATATGTACATCAATTTATTAGATATTTTATAGAGGTTTCAATAATGTGTACACATTTTGTGTAATTTTTTTTGGGTTCCGTACCAAGATTTTTAATTACGGTACGGAAAGTTTGCCTTAAGGCACGATGCCATGCACCCCACTAGTATTTTTTTTTAATTAAAAATTTTAATTATTTAGATTAAAACAGAAAAAAAAACTCAATGAACAAAAAATCGTAACGCAATAATGCAAAAGTATTGCAAATATTATATTTTAAGGGGGTCTTCTTATGTGACGGCCTGTTTTTTAGGGATATTTTAGGATTTTTTTTCTACGACTAGTAAATATTTAGAGCTTCAAGTTTTTTATCATTTATCAACACATATTTGGACAATAATCAATGACTAGTAAATATTTAGAGCTTCAAGTTTTTTATCATTTATTAACACATATTTGGACAGTATAAATATAAAATTTCAGCTAAAAATATTCAGTCAAACTAGAGTTACAGCGCTCTGAACACCCCCGCCTCGAAAAAAAGAGCTCCCACTTCCTCCACGATTCCGGCTGATCGGATTATCTGAAAAAAAAATCAACGGCGTTTTAATTTGTAGGCTTAAAAGCACGGAATGACCGTATAATCAAATGAATATAAAAAAAATTGGATTTTTGATAGACATTTGAAATAAAAGTTGCAAATTAGGCGCTTTTTTTTGTTTTTTGCTATAAAAAAAATCGAAGTTTTGAAAATTTTCGATTGATAATAGTTCATTCCATGCGTTTAAATATATTGAATGTGAATTTCAAGTAATTCGGTCCAGCCGTTTCTGAGATACAATGGAGGAAAGTTTGAAAAACACAGTTTTGAGAAAGATAAAATGATCGTTGTACTATATACTATATGTATACTTTTTAAATGGCTGTAACTCAAAAACTATTTGAGATATCGATTTGAAATTTTAATATGTTATTTTTAAAGGTGTAAAAAATCGATTTTTTTAACCCATCACATAGGAAGACCCCCTTAAGAAACTTCATGGCTTCGTAGGATGTCCCAAGCATATTTGATACTGATGAAAACGTTTTATTAATAAGTACTAATATATTTAATACTTTTACTAAGTATAAGTAAGTACATATGCATATACACAATATACATATTATCTATTATACCAAAAAAGCCCCGAGACGATAGTGCGTCATTGTTCATTGATATTGATGTGTCTTATCAATGGTGTTGAGCTACGCTGCTACGCTGCTACGGTCGCTACGGTTGCTCGATTTTGACAGATGGCCACTTGCTGCTTACGAATGTAGTTGATAAACTAAATACGTGTGCCGCGATAAAAATAAATAACGCGATAAAAATTGATTTGCACGTTCAGTAACAAAAATTTATTTAAATCGAGTTAGTGAATTGATTTAACTCGTCAAGATGAAGTGCAAATATATGATTTTTGTTGCAGCTATTGTTTATCTTACGTTCTTGCAATGTGTAATTTCATATACAATCCAAAGATATTCCATGCTAATGCCCGATGTGAAGCCAAACAGGCCAGAATTATATTTATGTACACCAGTAAAAGTTGATTATACAAAACCCTACTATATTGTCGGCTTTGAACCGAAAGCAACAATGAACACAGCCCATCATATGTTGCTTTATGGTTGCGAGAAACCAGGCTCTGATAGACCAGTCTGGAATTGCGGCGAAATGGCGCAAAACGAAAATTCTGTTGAAGAAACTGCAAGTCCTTGTAGTGAAGGCTCTCAAATAATTTATGCTTGGGCAATGGATGCTCCAAAATTAGAGTTACCGCAGGATGTTGGATTTAAAGTAGGTAAAAACTCAACAATCAAATATTTGGTTTTACAGGTTCATTATGCACATATAGATAAATTTAAAGACGGCAGCACTGATGATTCAGGAATTTTCTTACATTACACATCTAAGCCTATGACTAAATTAGCCGGAGTTTTATTGCTGGGAACAGGGGGTGCCATAGGCCCCATGACCACTGAACATTTTGAGACGATATGTACTATTAATGAAGATAAAATCATTCATCCATTTGCTTATAGAACACACACACATAGCTTGGGCAAAGTAGTATCTGGTTACAAAGTTAGAACAAATGAAAGCGGTTTGGATGAGTGGACAGAGCTAGGTAAAAGAAATCCATTGACTCCACAGATGTTTTATCCAGTTTTTAACAATGAAACAATTAATCGAGGCGATAAGTTAGCTGCAAGGTGCACTATGACGAGTCTCCGGACTACGTGGACTCATGTCGGAAGTACAAATGCAGATGAAATGTGCAATTTTTACTTAATGTACTGGTCAGAGAATGATGAACCTTTGGATATGAAATATTGTTTTACTGCAGGGCCACCGTACTTTTATTGGTCCCGATCTCAATCAGGTTTGAATAACATTCCTGATGTTAAAGCTAGTTTACTTTCATAAATGTGAGTTTTTACTTTTATATTTTTAACCAGTTAACTGAACACCAGTTTATGCAAAAAGTAACATGAATCCAGAATTATGTTTCACTTAATAAAGATGTACTATAATGTGATGAGTATAATTAAAATTTAAAACATTTCCAAAAGACGACAGTTACAAACTGGAAAAAAAACATATAAAATTAGTTATTTATCTGAATAAAGGAAATTTATGTACAAAATACACATACTTGATATCTAAATAAAAAATATAGTATTAGCAGTTAACTGGTTAAATTGGAATCTCAAAAACTTGTTGAAAACCAAAATGAAAAATATATCAAAATTTACTTAACATTCCTGACAATGCAAAAATACTTTAATATAATGAGATGAATGTTGTATTAAGCTGTTTACTTTGGCAACATTTACTTAAAGACGTTTTTGAAAACTCAAAATAATTCATCATTTTTGCTTGTATCCAACATTATTATTCTTATTTTCTTTTTGTGTAAATATTTTGTTAATCAAAACTGTAAAAGTCTTATTTAAAAACTGCTGTGAGGTACAAAAAAGAAATAATTTAAAAAATACAGTAAATTGATTACTTATATTTGAACAAATTAAAGTACTTTTAGTAATGGTTCTAATTTAACGCTTTGAGTATATTTGATGAGTGAGACTTGTGTCCATGTATATATCTAAAGCTGTAAATGTCGAGTTTGACTGGGCATTAAATACTTTGTTTACATACATTTGCTTATTGAAACAAATGAAATTTCATCTTTGGGTTGTATTTTTTTACTTTTTATTTGTTTTGTGAATAGATTTATATTTTAATTATTTCCATTTAATAAAAGCATCAACCATAACATTTAGCAAATTTGAATAAATCCCATGCGATAGACAAATTTAGAACCCAAAAGATGGTTTTATTTTTTGTTTTACTTGAATAACAACTACTATGTATGCTATTCAGAAGACCAGATTGTATTTTGATGATATAATTAAGTTTGTATATATTTTATACATATATACTTAATTTTTGTTAGAATAACATAAATTTGTCAAAAGGATTAACATGTTGCTTTGCATAGCAATAAATTGAAAATCACTTTAATTCTGTTATTTTTACCATGTGGTGGAATGTATTTTGCAATTGTCGTAACAAATCACATTTTATGACCTTATAAATTTTATTTTCAAACATCTGGCAAAAGAATTCCTTTTGACTATGAATAACATATATAAAGTTCTTGCAATTTTATTTCTTGTTAACATAGTGCAATATTTTAAATTATGCATTAATTTACAAAATATATATTTATATGAATCTCATGTTATAAATATTATATAGTTTATACAAAATTTTTTTTTAAATAACATTCACTATATTTAAATATATATTTTTCTATCGAATAGATCAAATAATTTGTATTTGTAATCAGGTTTAAAGCAAAAACTTTACCTATTAAACTAAAAGTCAAGAGAAATCTATAAAATATTAATTTTTAATTGTAATTATTTTTTATGCAATATCTGTGATTTTATTAGCATCACTTAATATTTTTAAGTTATTTTTGGTGCTTATTAATGTAATTTTATATTTGTTCTAAAATTTTATTTATTTACACTTACACATTCCAAAGAAGGATGTAGACTGTATTCCCTCCAAGTGTATGATCTGTAAAATATTATCTCTTATCTATTAAATTAATTAGTTTTATTTTTATATGGTGTAACTGTATCATTACTTTTATGTAATTCAAATTATGAGGTATGTGCACATTGGTATATGATATGGATCACCTTTGTAGAACGATTTATACACCAAATTAAAAAAGCCTGATTGAACAATTTCAACTTTCTATCTTATCAGTCAATTATAATCGTAAATATGCAAAAGTGACCGCTTTTTCAAACTCACTTTTTAGTATTACTGTAACTTACAATAATAGATATTGAGAAGAAAATTGTCATGATTATATTAACTGATTTGTGCTATATTATTTGTTATAGATTATGATGTTATCTGATTGTTGAAACATGCAGTAAATATAAAAAATAAAATCGATTATATATAAATTTAGAACTCTAACATAGTAGTCTTTTTCGTTTGGTATTTTCTGACACTGCAGTTGTTTGGACTAATTTCCAATTAGAATCTTTCAAAGGCCTATAAATTTTTCTTGTATTATCCAAAATATTGTTTCAATCCAAAATATATGTTAGAGCAGCAAATTGAATAAATAAAAAATATCCCAATTTAGAAGAAATAATTGTTATGGAAACATTAGTATAAATGTTTGTAATTATTTTATGAGAAAGCGTTTTCATATCATTTACAATCAGAAAATATATTCGAAAAGTGATAAGGTAGAAATTTGAAAGTTATGTGATTTTTTTTAATAATTATTTAAATATGGTCCAGTCATTATAGTAAGTTCACCTCGGAATTCGATATACCCAGCTGCATGTCTGTAAATACTTGTATATTGACACCCAAAAGTTATCTCAAAAGCTACATATGATATTGACACCCTACCATATGTAGGTTTTGAAACAACTGTAGGGTGTCAATATACAAGTATTTACAGACTTACAGCTGGGTATCTCGAATTCCGAGATTGTTACCTAATTTAAACTTAAATGACTGGACTAACCTGGGAGAGCTTATTTTATATGCAATGCGCCCATACCCTTTGAATCAATATTATTATTAGCTTCTGACATAACTAGACTTAACTAGAAATGCATTATTCATATTGAAACCAAGATATAAAAGAGGAATTGGTAACCAAAGTGGACTATTCCACATAAATCTGAGTGCCATCAAACCGTGTCTAATTACCTTTTTTTTTAATGTTTTTATATTATTTTCAATTAGTAGTATGTAAATACTATTTATTACCATTATCTTAACAATATGTTATGATTTTTTCAATATATAAATGAACAAAAAATTCATAAAATGTGAAAGTCTGAGCAAATTTTTTGCTGCCATTTAACACATATATAAATATTATTTTTATTCCAATTTGTCTCCAATCCAATCCCAATTCCATTTCTCACTATATCTGTTTGGACGATTTGTGGGATAATTCACTCTGGTTACCAACTCCTCAAATATCATATGAAAATCTGAGGATATAAAATAATGACTTCGCTGATGAGCTCAAATTTTATTTGATAAACTGCTAATTTTAATTACGATTTGTGATATTAGTTTGATTTCAATAAAATTTAAAAAATATGTCCTTTGGCTTATCAAAATCCGCACACCAAATGCAACATCTTAAAACATATCAAAAACTATAGTTGGTCCCTTTAAATCTCCCATGTGAAAACAATATTGTGTTAAGTTATTTCATATATAGTATACATCTCATTTGTAATATTTTCATGAAAAGTTTTAACTACAAGTGACTGTATATCATAATTCATAAAGTAATGAAACTTTTGATTCAGCTTTAAAAAATATATTTTAAATAATAGCTCATGTCAATTGTTAATAAAAAAGAATAATAAAATGCAATTTATTATAATCAGTTTTGCATATAATATTTATGTAACAAACTTTTATGGAATACATTTTTTGTGTGATAAAATTTATATTATTTAACTATTTTGTTAGATTTTTATCCTACGGCAGACGTAATAAGATCAGCAACATCAGGATGTGTAGACCTGACGGTTAATTGCATTGTTACGCCATCTGATAAAGCAAGTTTTGCTCTTACTAAAACATCAATGCCACCTCTAAACATACCTGTAAAGAATTTCATATGCACAATACAATCAACATGAATATTTTACAGAAAATATTTGCACATGTTTAAATATATTGATCTCTAATGAATTTACCTGAACATAATAAGGTATGTGTAGTTTTTCCTTCGGGTACCCTTTCAGATCCTTCTGAAGGTGCTAATCCCAAAAATGTTAAAATTGTTTTAACAGCTTCTTGCAATGTATTTAAACTGCTTAGAGCGTATGTATCTTCCAATTGTATCCATTCTGTGACATTGAAAATAGAATTATCAAGGAAGTTAAATATGGTTTGGTGTTTTATATTTAATTGTAAAATGAAGAATACAAAGCATTTTGTGTTCACAATTAGTAAATATTTTTGTAATATATTTACGTTCATTATCTGCAGCGTCCCAAACAGCTCCAAAGTTAACTTTCTTCACCCTTTGTAATTGATCAGCTACAGATATGTCAAAATCTTCTAAAATATATTCATCATCATACCCTGCAAATAATTTCAGCTAATTAAAATATGTAACAGAATGTTTTCAGGCATCTTTCACATTTTTTTTGTAATATTTAATTATTATAAAGAATTAATAACTTTTTGCATTCATTTGAAATATATTTTATTATATTTTTTAATTTCTTCATGAACAATGAAGTTTACCAGTTTGTTTTTCATATGTCAAGTATTTCTCTGTGTTAACATATTTTCTAGTTGCAAAAAATTAAAACATAGAACAAGTTTTGAATTTTATAAAAGCATTTTTAACCCTTACTACTCGACACTGCATAATGACAAAAACGTGCCTGCTGTAAATTTAATATTATTGTATATGTTATGCAATTTGTTTTATATGAATTTGTAGACAATGCAGAACATACATTTACAATAATATCTAAATTAATTTTCTCCAGTATGTTAAAGTTTCAAGCTGTTTCCAAAAGGGGTCGCGATAGTTTGTTTTTTTACCATTCCACAGAAAAATGGAATATAAGGTTTTCTATATTCCTCTTTTTTTGATAAATTTACAGTCTTTTTACAATATTTAAAAAGTAAATTATATAATAAAAAGTATTTTGAAAGTAATAGTAAATTTATCACTGTCTTATCACTTTCTTTTAACTCACAGCTGGCATTTAATTTTAACATTATATGGCAGCCCACAGTTATTAATAATTTGCAAAGCTTCATATATACTAATAAAAATAATATAGAAATACTACTAAATGAACAAAAGTAAATATTTCAAAAATTAATGCAACCAAAAAAGAATACATTATAATTAATTTATTGATGAAAGAAAGTTGATAAAATAAATAGAAAAAAATATATATAAAGAACCGCTTTCTTGATCTATTCTATTCGACGCTTTAATACGAATGAGTCATTATATATACAAACTGACAAGTG